AGGTCCCCTCGCGCCTCCTCCCGAGCTCACCAGCGCGCCGCCGCCTCCTCATGCCTGGGATCCTCCTCCCAGCCGCCTCCGCCCGAGGGCCTCATCGACCCCGCCCCCAGCCATCGCCGGCGAGCAGCAGCCACGAGGATCCCTCGCGCCTCCTCCCGAGCTCCCCAGCTCGCTCACCAGCGCGGCGTCGTCTCCTCGTGCCCAGGCTCCTCCTCCCAGCCTTCTCCGCCCGGGGGTCTTGTCGACCCCGCCCCATGCACCTCGCCGGAGCAGCCATCGCTGGCGACTAGGTCCCCTAGCCACCTCCCTGTTTCCTCCCTCTCTGCCGTATGAACAGAGGACCAGCACCATCCCTCCCGCCCTCCGCCGCACGAGTCGCCATATAGATCCGTCGGTTCCTGCACCCTTCGTCGCTCCCTGTCGCCGGAGTTGCGCCAAGTCCGGCTGCCTTCCCTGCGTCGGCTGCAAGCAGGCACGGTGAGCGGGACGCCGGGGCGGGGCGGAGGTTACAAGAGGCAGAGGAGCTCGGGCTCGAGGGGCTCCTCCCCTCGATTTAGATCGGCGCCGCGGCGTGTGGAGACGATGAATAGTAGCGCCGGTGAAAAAGGGGGCTTTCTGCAAAAAAAAACATGCCACGTCGGCACCCGACAGGTGGGCCCCGCTGGTCAGATACCCCGTCAATACGTGTTTATACGCGGTTTAGACCTTTTTGTAACGGCTAGCCCCAGACTTGGTACTGACATGTAAAAATTATCAAAAGTGGTACCAATCCGCATGTAATGCCCCAATTGTGGTACTTCCGTGCAATTAACTCTTCTTTTTTGTATGAAGTTGGTCGATTTAATGTGAACTGCCCAGGTGGCGATAGATCAAAGAAACCAACGGCTGACACACAAAGTAGTCCACCTTCAAATACTGGCCGATAAGAAGTTGGGATGTCCATGGCTCCGGACAATTTGCATCACAAACGGTTGTACGTAGTGAGCACAGTTTTGTGATTTAACCGAACGATCGAGAAATAGTAGTGATGTTAATGTGATCCTCCGTCGATCAAAGACAGTCAAAATTCAGCACGTGGTTGTTTTTTGTCTGGTTTTAAAAGTTTAAGGTTGTCAAATAGACGGTTTTATAGTTCAGGGTTGGTTGTATGTTAGACTTTGGTAATAGTTTTCGAGGTTTAATATGAACTTCTCTCAATCAGAAATATAGTAGCATGCATTTGTCATTGAATCGTGCCTTGTAGTATCATCTGGTTTGGCGTATGTGATGTGATGATAACGTGGCCCTCCGTCGGGCCAAGCCACAGCATGACCCTTTTCTTTGTTGATTGGCATGATGAAAGAAACAAAAATAACAAGCACCGGGCCACCGCAAATATAAGCACGGCGGACAACGGCGAACTCTCACACATAAACCCACCCGGTTGGCACACCAAAAGCCTAGCAATAAATACTACTCACTCCGATCCGGCGCCGTGCTCGCGTACATTCTTTGTAGTTAGACGTCGTGGCAGGGCTAGCTTAATTAGAGCATGAGGCGACGTGCGGCGGGCTTCTTGCGCAGGCCGACGAGCTTGGCGTCGTCGATGACGGGCCCGCAGAGCGTGCCGTCGGCCTTCATGTGGTAGAAGGCGCTCTGGAAGACGACCCGGGTGCGGTCCCTGACGGCGACGAAGTCCAGCACGGCGCGCTTGTAACCGCCGGCGCCCTTGGACTCGTAGGGCACCTTGAGGGTGGAGCGCGCGGCATAGGCCTCGGCCACCATGGATCCCATGCAGCCGTCGGCGGAGTCGCCGACGGCGAAGGAGAGACGGTAGGCCCATCCAGGCACGGTGCGGACCTCCTGCACGAGCGCGCTCTCCTTGCCGCCAACGAGCTCGACGGCACGGGCGCCCTCGGGCACCTTGAAGTGCGCGGCGTCGACGTACTTGACGGCCTTGGAGGACATGATCATCCAGGCGGGGAGCGGGGAGTGGTCGTCCTCGATGTTGGGCGGCACGAGCACGCCCCAGGAGGCGTTGGGGAGGAAGTAGGGGCCCTCCTCGAAGCCGCCGTTCTTGAGCATGTTGCCCTTGGAGAGCGTGGGCGGGTAGAGCGTGCGGATGGCGACGGCGTCAACGAGCGGGCCGCAGGCGGGGTCCTCCTCGACGCCGGGGTTGTGGAGGACGAGCTCGACGACGTCGAGCTTGGCCTTGAAGGCCCAGGCGTAGGAGTCCCAGCCGTTGCTGCCGTAGATGGTCTGCATGGGGAGCACGCCGGACTCGGGGCTGACGGAGACGTTGAGGCGCTCGGCCTGCGCGCAGGTGCGGGCGGCGCTGAAGGTGATGGCGTAGTAGGAGCCCCGGGCGACGGGGATGCGCTGGAGGATGGAGGCGTCGTTGCCGAGGCGGACGGCGTAGGCGCCCTGCGGCACCACCAGCAGCATGTCGCCCTGCTTGTGGCCGGACTCGATGTACTCCACGAAGCCCGACGTCTCCCACCTGGGGATCGCCTTGCCGCCCTTCACCACCGTGCCGTTCACCAGCTCCGACTTGGCCGGACCCAACTCGAAGTTGCCATTCGGCAGGAGCCCTGCATGCACCAGCCCATCAGAGTAAATAAAAATGGATGTAGCTAGGTCTCAATCGATTAAGACTTAATCTTTTTTTAGGGGGACTAAGACTTGATCAAATGATATAACGGATAAGAAAGGAAAACGAAAAACAGAATAAAAAATTTACACGGATCTCAATATAAGATCTCACGAGTGAGACGTTGATTGAGACTTAACTAAGTCTTAGTCAATTGAGATTTAGCAATACAGTTAATTAAATTGCAGCAGGTAACATTTGTTCTTGGTTCTGGTGTTTCACCGAGCCTCGGCCATTACTGCTGGAGCTAGAAAAGGAAAGCAAGCTGCAACGGTGCTGGAGCACGCAGGGCTGTCTCCCCAACTCATGCTTCGTTTAACAATCACACCGACAGACAGGCGTCATAGTGTAAGCTGACAGGGTGCATGTTACTCTGCTTCAGCCTAGGCCAGGCGCATTCACTACCCACTTCGTCGAGCATGCACATGGCGCAGATGCAGAGCCCTGCGGCGGTTTCTGCACACGCACGAGAGGTCGATGCAGCGGAAACCGAATCGAACCCAACACAAGCTCACGCCACTGCTAGTACACTACGTACTTTCTTTAGGTTAGTATATACATGTACTTGTACTATACGATGTACTAGCAATGTTTATTAAGTTATACAAACAAAGAGAGATTCTTTGGACTTTGGACGGTGAGCGTGCATGGAGACTGCGTTTACTGGTTTCAAATCGGAAAGGTGGCCCATGCACACATGCGAGGAAGATGCGTTGCCATGTGAGGGTGGGCCGACAGTTATACCCTACGTCAATAAAATCGAATCATGATCAACCTTGTTCAAGCACCATGCACATGACAGCGAACCAGAATCATTTCCTACAAACAAGATCCTTGATGCATGCACGCATGGTGTGCCACACCTAACCAGATCAGTTTTTGTGATCGCAAGATGGTCCTTAATGCATGTGGGTCAACCATGCAACGACCCGCTTGTCTGCCAGGCCGGGTCAAGTGCTCTACCCATTTTCATGAAAGAAAAATCTCTCGTCAGTGATTCGCCTACTTGACGACCAACTAACTATACTTACTACTGGTTTTACGCAGAACCAATCAAAGTACAGCGCCTCAAGCAAAAGCAGTGAATATGACACGAAGAAGACAACAAGAACAGGCGGAGAAAGGAGGGATAAAGGCATGATATCGTGCACTTCTCTTAATCGGCATGTACTCCTGAAATCTAATCATGCGGCGGCAAGTACTGTAGCTCGCTATCTGAGGGTACATGACAGAGCAGGGGTGCCTCACCGTCGGTGACGACCGCGGCGGCGCGCGCCGCCGCGAAGACGAGCAGGAGCAGCACGGCGCAACGCATCGCGGCGTCCTCCGTCTTCCTCGCTCTTTAGTTTTCCGCTTGGAGCTGGTTCAAGCTTACGAGCTCGAGCTCAGGGTGGAGGATGAGACGAAGGGAGGAGCACGGCCGCGCTTTATAGGCCAGCTCCTCGTCTAAACGGCCTCGGGGCGCGCCCGTATTTGCAGAGGAAATGCCACCGCGAGCCGCGCCAGGGGCCGCTCGATCTGGGCCCTCGGAGACGGGACGGACGGACGGCACCGACGACGGGCTCCGAGATGGCGATCCTGTCGTCTGCATGTGCACGCATCGGCCTCAGCTGACACATGGTGGCCATGTGTGCATGTGCATGCGACGTGAGCCATGCGACCCTTGCCCCTCGCAGATCGGAGTGCATCCGCTGATCAAGACAGACATGGAAGCGGACAGAAGGGAAATGATTATTATTCAACCCAAGACAAGAAGAAGAAGAAGAAGCAGCAGCTCGCTTGCACTCCACACCAACAAGAGACCGGCTTCAGCTGTGGCCTGCGCGCACCCACCGATCCGCCCCGTCGTCAAGTCCTCAGATATTTTCTTCTATTGTACTGGATTGGAAGACCGTAAAGATGACAGGTACGTGTGCTCCTGCACAGTACTTGCTCAGTTGCTCTCTGTTCGAAATTACTTATCACTCAAACAGATGTAGTATCTAACTCATCCATTTCAGCGACAACTAATTCGGGATGTATGTATTATCAGTTAGCAAACTGTGGCTAGCTCCTGCGGTTCCATGCATCCGGTCAATCATCGTCAATCTGTCACCATGAGAAAAGAGATGGAAAATCAAATCATCGTCAAACCGGGGTCAAGGAGCGCGGTGGCACGAGGGCGACACGAGTCACCGCGGGCGTCCTGATTGCACGCAGCCGCATGTGCCCCTCTCTCTCTGTTCAGTGATCCAGGTTCAGCGATGCGCTGCCCCATAAAAACAAGTGATGGTTCTCTATCGTCTCCATGTGCCGTGCACTGTCGGACGCACAGTGCCCGCCGCTGTGCCATTCATAAACTACGAGTGCAAGGCCAGATCTTATCTCTAAAATCTGGAGGCCATGTGAGGCCGCATGGTGGACACTGTGCGCTGCTAACTTCCGTGTGGCCAGGCGCCGATTTCGAGTTTGGCATCAGACAGGTGTACGTGTCTGTGCAGGATGGTTCGCCTGCCCTTGTGAGGTTTCTTTAGAGCAACTTCAACCGGTGATTTATTTTGTCCGTCCATGTTCGTTTTAGGTCACCGCGTAGTAAAACATTGACCCAAGGTGTCGACCATTTCAAAAACCATCCGCTTCGTGTCTATTGTACTTAGACTCATTTCAGGCCTAAAATTATGTCTGAAATGTGTTGGCGCAGACACGCCGCGCGTCGGCTCGGTGTTCGCCACGGCCCCGCATGTCAGCTGCCTAACAAGCCCAACGATCATAATTAACACGGCCACTAACAGAGGACCCGTCTGGCAGTGTGTGAAAGGGCTGCGTGCCCGTCCCTTTTAATGGACTCGTGTGGCGGGACCTTTGCTTCCTCGCCGGCGACCAAAAAACCCTAGACAGCCAACCAGCAACAAACCCTAGCAAAGGCATGGGAATCTTCTGTGGGAAGGGAGGGAAGAAGGGAAGGTTCAGCGCCGAAGCGAGCTTTTCCCGCGGGCACCCGGCTACATCGCCGTCGGCTAGACGTGGCATGCCACCGTGCGAGCGGGAGCGGCTGCACATCCCAGTCCACCAGGCATGGTGGCACTGGCAGTACCGCTAGCCCCTGTCGTATCCAGATGTGAACTTGCCGCATGGTTGGCATCTGAACCCGCACCACATCCCCATCCCGGCGGCGCCGCGGCCCGCGCGGGCGCACGCTAAGGAGGTTTCCTGACGGCGCCGGTTCCTGATGCCGGAGCAGCGCACCATGCGTGCCTACGCACCAGACTCTCCCAATTGGGAGTGCTGGTTTGCGCTAGAGCACGAGGAGGAGCATAGCCTCGGCATGCACATCAACCACGCCCTTCCACCGTCGCCCCTGCGGGTAAAGTCAGAGGAAGAGGAGGTGAAGGCATAGTACCAAGCCGCCCTCGAGGAGGGCCTGTAGCAAACGCTGGAGGCGAGCCAGCTTAAGGAGGACGCCCATTGGGATGGGCTGGAGCAAGCCCTAGCTTTGTCCGCGGCGGCGGACTCCGTCCAGGCGCCCATATTCATGCCGCCACCGCCGTCGGCACCGTCCCTTGTCGAGCCCAAGGCCAAGCCAGAGCGCGAGCCAACGCGCATGTGGAAGCGGTCACAGCCGCCCCCACTTGACAAGAGGAGTCTTATTCGTGGACCGGCGAGATTCGCGCGTGGGTGAGCGCGCCTCCCTGCTACTATGCCTCCACGTTGAAAGAAGAGGCGGTCCACCTTGAGCGCTGGAAGATCCATTGGCTCATCGAGGAGGGGGCCGACGGCGAGCGACATATGCAATATGAGCAGCAGCTGCACCGCGACGAGGAGGCACTGCCGCTTGAGGAGAAGGAGGAGGAGCGCACCCGCCTTGCCGCTATGCCGTCGCCGCAGCAGACGCCGAAGGAGGTTGCCCTGGCGGCCTATCCAGTCACGTTCGGTTGGGCTGGGCGCCCCCTCGTCTTCATTGACCTCACCAGCGGTGACGACGACGACCGTAAGGGCAAGGGCAAGGGCAAGGCAGTCTACTAGGGCAGCGCGCGGGCGTTTATTAGAGTTTTTTAAGTTTTTAGTTATATTTAAGTGAACTTTGGCTCGCGTTTGACTGACCATTTTATGTATAACTATGATTAATTAAGTTAGTTTCGGGCACGTCGGCATAAATGAGTCGGCCTTCCATTAGGAGTACCTGCCAACTCAAATGAAAAAGCGGACGAACACTTTAGTCTAACCGATTCAAACGGACAAAAAACGGATAAAATGTGCATTTGTTTGGGTCGACGTGTTGAAATTGTTCTTAAGGATAAGCATTGTTTTGTGCTATGCGGACGATGGAATGGACCCGGGATCTTAAAGTCATGCTAAGAGCAACCGCTGACATGTATTGCGTGTAACTTTCTTTGACCAAGAATGCATGTCGTTGTGATAGTTGATGATTGTATTTTCTTTTTTACAAAAAAAACATCAAATCTATTCATCATTTACTAGTAGTACAAACGCCCTTTAAAAATAAAAATAAAGTTATCGTGGATGGCGCATTATCGCACACGGTTCATCTTCGTAGCCAGACATGTCGTTGTCGATCACGGGCCATTGTCCTACCGAATCAGCGACCTGCAGAAAAAAAAAACTTGTCACCAGTGTAAGAGTCGCAGACCCAATAGCCAAACCTCCATTATTTCTCGCAGGCCTCAAGCTAGCATTGAAAGGCCACACCGACGCGACGAGTACGATCCTGAAGGACCAAACTGCAAAGAAAAACCGCTGCTACCATCAAGCCAACAAACCCACCGCCCGGAATGAAAAATATGACATCGAGCAATGGGCATAGCCACAGACGACATCCTCAACATGGATAGACTCGAAAGGACTTTATTTCGCCGTACCCGCACCCCCGCCACTACCAACGAGGCTCCACATGAGAAGTTTTTATTGGGTCTCACCGACATCACGTCCGAAGGGCTGAAGCGACGGACAACAAAAACCTACCTAAAACCGTCTAACTAGAAAAAAACACAACTCCATCCGATGAACCGGGGCTTCCCCAAACTCTGTGCATTTTTCAGAATGAAGACGCAAAAACCGTCCGACTTTAAATTAGTAAAGCCCACCAACTAGGGAGAGGCATAATAGTTCACTGAAAGGAAAAGAAAATCAGTTCAAAGCGCTAGGATACATGGCTGAAGGCCCATAAGCAAAGCACACATGGTTGAAGTGAAGAAGCATATCCGGAGGGGGGGGGGGGCAAGCAATGCAGTGGGTGTGTCGAAGCTTGTCCATCGTCTGCTGCATTTCTTCAACGTCCCGATGATTCCCCAACGGAGTCCATTGATGTAGGAAGAGAAGACATTTGAATATATAGTCGGTCCAATGGGAAGGGAACACTAATTCAATGGTAATCTTATTTCTAATATTGCAAAGCACCCATAGCATCGCCCCTATGCAGCACCACAATATCCTCTTGGTCGCACCGTGCTTTGACCTAAGGATAGCAAGCAGCTTCGCACCTGAAGGCGGATTTGATGTAAGGATAGAGCAAGGTGGCATTGAAAGAAAACATGATTTGCATCCTCCGGGGTAGCACACACCACACAATTTCCATTAGAGGGGCCATGCCACTTAGCGAGTTGATAGAGGTGGGAGGCAGTTCCTAAACATTTGTCATAGGAATTTTTTCACCTTGAGAGGTGAGTAAGCTTTCCAAAGCCCCTAGCTACGTCTAGCGACGGGCCTTGCATGAGTTTAGCATACAACGATTTGACCGAGAATTGGCCCCAGTCCATGAGGGGCCACGAACTCGTGTTTGTCTGAGAGGATATGAAACAATGATAAGCCTATCACAAAGAGCTGACCAGCTGACCCCTTCAGCTGGGCAAGCTCGCATCTAACTGTAAGGAGGGGTGGGGGTTATGAAGGGCCTCAGCAACCAAAATGTATGGTTGGTCGTGCTTGAGTATAGATCCTAGCAATTCACCCAGAGTCGATCGATGTCTAGCAAACAATGAAATCAGAATCTAGTAGGCTAGCTGTTTTGCATGTGAAATTTCAGTCCTAGGCAAAGGCCAATCTGACCACCTGGAACCCGTTCCAGAAGGCGGAGCTATGCGAATTGGCTTCAAAAAACGAACCTTTAGGGAAGTATTTGGTTTTCACAAGGTTAGTCCAAAGGCCCTTGCCGTTTTGCAACAACTTCATAATCCACATTGTAAGAAAACCTACATTCATAAGCTTAGAATTTGTGACTTTCCAAGTCTCCTTGCTTTTTAGGGCTGCAGACGCCAGCCCATTTATCCAAGTGGTACTTACGCTTGATCCCCGTTCTTTCCCAAAAGAAATAGGATCGGG